CTTCTTCTTCTTCTTCTTCTTCTTCCAGAACTGGGGATTGAACTCAGGCCCTTGTGCTTGCCAGGAAAGCACTTTTTCTACTGAGCTATCTCCCTGGCCTCTTGCCTCCTTGGATATATTTTAGAATAATCATATTTTCTCAGCCTTTTTCATATTCATCTGTGAAATGTTAAGTTGGAAATATCTAAGCACAGAAATTTTGCATTCAAATTCACTTCTATGGGACTGGGGAGATAGCTCAGTGGTCTAAGTGCCTGCCTGGCAAGTGGAAGGACCAGGGTTTGATCCCCAGTACCACATACCATGGTGCATGCCATGGCACTGTGGTAGCCACTGAAATTGGACATCATGGTGCATGCCTGTAATCCCAGCCCTGGGAAGGCTGAGACACAAGGATCACTGTGAGTCCAAGCTGCACAGCCAGAACCTGCACCAAACAAACAAACAAACAAACAAACAAATAATTTAAAAACAACAACATATTCACCTCTTCCCTTCCAAAAACCCACTAAAATGACCACAAAGACAAAAGTAGGTAATCTTTTTTGGAAAGCTGATGGGTATCTACAAAATATCATTTTCTAACTAGCTGTAAATTATACTGTTTAATCAATAAGAACAAAAAGAGAGAAAGCTGAAAAGAGATTTTGACACAATTTTTGAGAAAGGGAGAAAAAAGTTCAGTTTTCATTGGTTTAGACAAAGTACATTTAAAACATATACCTCTTAGGTGATAGAGTATGGGATACCAATTTTAAATAAAGGCAACACGTGGAAGGGCCACATAACATTGAAGATTGGGATCAGAAGTGATCTAAAAGATACAATAACTAAATGCTTCACAGAGTGTATGCAGCACCCCCAGTTCTTCCCAACCTGACTGGCCAGGTGAGCACGTCCTCCACCTTCTCAGAGTATTAGTCCCCAAAACACACACCTCAAAGGACAGAAAGTTCCCTTTATGTAGCAGTCAAATCTGAGGCCCTGTGAACTCAGCAACTCAGCAGCACCATGTATCACAGAGCATAGAGTCGCTATATGCTAACAAGTTAAGGATTATGGGGAGCAGCCCTTAGCTTCTTTCCATATGCTATCTCCAAATGCTCCTATGAGCACAACACTCCATCTTTTTCCCAGTGTAGGTGGGGGCAGGGATCACCAGTAAAAACATCCCAGTTTACAGAAAGCCCTGCACATACTGGCATTTAAGAGGTCCCTATCACCCTATCCCTGATGTTTTTGATCCCTGTTGATCTCTTAACAAGTAGCTTCCATTCTGGCCTCTAGAACCAAAGAGCAAGTAGAGTCAGATCCAGGAATATAGCAAAAATATAATTGTACATTTAAGATCTAGTAGAAGAATTGGAATGCAAAAACAAACGAGTTTCTAAGAAAAGATAAAATGAAGGGGGAAAAATGTAAAAGAAAACAAAAAGGTAAGAAACTAGAGGATGAAAACAAAGTGCCAAACACCAAATGAACAGAAGTTCTGAAAACAGAAAACATGGGAGTATATTATTAAAAAGAATCAAAGCCTTATAGTGTGAAGCTTATGTGTGTCCTACTGAAAAATGAGCTGAAGTAGTAGTGGACATCATAACTGGAGAGGTAACTGCCGTGCCCAAGGTACAGCAACATAAGATGTCAGAATCGTGCCCAAGTCATACCCTCCTTCTTAGAAAAGCACCTGAGAGTTTACCTCAGTGAAATGAGGGAGATACCAAAACATTTGTGTATTCAACATAAAGGAACAGTAACAGCCTCAGGATCAGCTTTCTACCAGGCTTAAAATAATTATTCTAAGATAGAAAAAAGAAAAGAAGTGTGTATGTTTTTAAAAAAAATGAGAGACAAAAACAGAGACAAAGATGGAGATAGACATCTTGGTTGAGACATGGGTACATTTTCAGAGGAAATAAAAGAATTGATGTGTTAAGTGATATCATGAAATATTAGCAAAAATTATATTGGGTTTTAACGGATTTTTTGAACATTAAGTATTTGCCACAGCTATATAGAAAACTAGCCAAATGCAAACCAACCTGTTATTATTCTAGGAAATCAAAGTCAGCCAAAAAAGTAATATAATCAAAATGTTATGCAACCCCTCAATAAATAATATTTACAGGGGCCAGGGAGATGGCTCAGTAGAATAAGTGCTACCCTGGCAAGCACAAGGACCTGAGTTCAATTCCTGGTTCTGCAAATAAATAAATAAATAAATAAATAAA